CCACCAGCATCATCACCACCACCAGCATCTGCACGACCTCCTTCAACCCCAGCATCACCACCACCTTCACCTCCTGCATCACCCCCACCATCCCCTCCTGCATCACCCCCACCATCCCCTCCTGCATCACCCCCACCATCACCACCTACGTCATCTTCACCACCTCCATCACCTCCTGCTGCGCCTCCGCCAGCTGTTACTTCACCTTCCCCTCCAGTCTCATCCCCCCCTCCACCATTGCCAGACTCTCCTCCTCCCCAAGCCCCACCGACCCCTCCATTGGCAACTCCACCTCCCTCTCAAGATGTTTCACCTTCTCCACCTCCTCCAGTTAATGTTCCAACCCCACCTTCATCTGATCCTCCATCTCCACCTCCACCAGTAATAGAACCGCCAAAAGCTTCTCCATCACCCCCTAATATCACACCTCCACCATCTGGTTCACAGTCCAGCCCTCCACCTTCCACAACTACATTGCCACCACCACCTCTTTCAGTGCCTTCAACCTCTTCATCGCCTACAAGTTCTCCTCCTGCTCCTCCAAGCAATTCCTCAACTGGTGGAATTCCAAGTTTGTCACCCTTACCTGATGTTCCTGTGGAGAAACCAACTGCTCGATCAACAAATGGCACTGCAGAAGTGACGAACACTGCATCCTCAGGTTCTGCTGGTTTGAACACTGGTGGTGGGGTTGCCATAGGCATTGCCTTTGGGTTTTTAGCACTTACTCTTCTTGTAATGGCTGTGTGGTTTGTTCAGAAACAAAAGAAAAAGAGATCAGCAGAAAATATTGGATATACCATGCCTTCTCCATTTGCATCCTCTCAGAATTCAGGTAATGCGTTGAACATTTATTGTTTTCCAATATTTAAATTTCAAGTTTAAGGTGAAATTATGCAAATGCTTTAGACTTCAGAATCATTCCAAAAAATCTCTTTGAGTTTAGGCGTAAGGGTTTTCTTTTTTTTTTTTAGAAGAAAAAATTGGTAAAAAATATGTAAGCACCAACTTGGTGCAATCCATAAACCAAACTTGACAAATTAGTCAAAAGTAAGGGCTTTATTTTTGGTTACTTGATGCCAAAATTCCTGAAGTAAATATTTCTTTGATGATATAATCGAATAAGAATTGGAATATCCGGATTTGACAACAAGGTAAAATGTCAATCAAATGTGAAAATATGGAACTTCCTTTATCATCTGTCTCCTTGTTGAGCTTATGATGTGAAATCATATGAACTTTGAGCCAGCAGTCAAGCATTTGTTCCCATATGCTTTTGGTTACCCGGTCCATTTACCAGTGGTTGCTGAAGTCTAAGTGCATTCTAGGATTCTTTCTGAGAAGGAAACATGAAACTTTTTGTTGGGGTTTGTCTTCCTCAAATTTATTTGTTCTCATTGATATTTATGCTCAACTGCAGATATAATATCTTGGTTGCTTTTTTCCTTTCTGTTAAATGATTATAATTAGGTGCCAGTGCAAATGAGGTGATGCAAATGAGACTTATACCATTCCATTGTGCTCTACAGATATAGCATTTTTACAGCCCAATTCTATCGCCCCTCATGCCAGAAGTGGCTCTACCAGTGATTTCATGTATTCACCATCAGAATCAGGTGTAGTGAGCAATTCAAAATCATGGTTCACATATGAAGAACTGTTCCAGGCTACAAATGGTTTTTCAGCCCAGAATCTTTTGGGTGAAGGTGGATTTGGTTGCGTATACAAAGGTGTACTTCCAGATTTAAGAGAAGTAGCTGTGAAACAATTGAAAATTGGTGGTAGTCAGGGGGAGCGTGAATTTAGAGCAGAAGTTGAAATTATTACCCGAGTGCATCATCGGCATCTGGTTTCACTGGTTGGCTACTGTATATCTGAGCATCAAAGGTTGCTTGTCTATGACTATGTACCAAACAACACTCTGCATTACCATCTCCATGGTATGTCAAGCTCCCCTTGATAAGAAGAAAAATTGATGCATATGGTTTATAAATTAACTTCAGGAATCATTTGTTACCATTCAATAATCTCTTAGTAGGTGGGTTTTGTCATCTTGACTATTAAGGGCTTCGAGATACATTCTTTAGATTTAAGATTTAGCCTTTAGACATGCTGCAGCAGTTATTTACCTTTTAAAAAACATTGATTCCCTTCTCCAAGAAAAGAAAAAGAAAAAGAAAAAATACTTTATCTTTATCCTTTAATAATCTGTATTCATATGAATTTCACAGATGAAAATAGGCCCATCATGGATTGGGCCACCCGAATCAAAGTCGCAGCAGGTGCAGCTCGTGGGATAGCTTACCTGCATGAAGATTGTAATTTTCTTTCCTTTCCTTTTCTTCTATTCCTAGATTTATTTACAGACAATTGTTCAGTTTCTTGATAGCAAAATAAAAAGAAAGAAAGGAATAGCTGAGGCAAATTGCTGGCATGTCTTAAAAGAAATAATCTGTTATTTGGCAAAGACTAGTGGCTGGCATGCATATTCTAATGCTAGACAAGGAAATTCTGATACAATCAGCATGCATTTTTGTAATAATAAGAATTTTTGAAAAAGATGCAATTTCTTCTTTGCTTTTGGGAGCAGTTCAAGGTCTCTCTAATTTGAAGTTGATATATGCTGGAAAACCTTTATAAACTACGCAAATAATTTGCTGCCAGAGATTGAAACAGTTCTTATAATCATCAATATGAAATTGTTCACAACATATCTGCTATACGGACATGCTAATCACGTAGATATAATGTATAGACTAATAGCTGATTTTGCGAAAATTGCGACACCTTTTGTATTTTCTTCTGACCTTTACATTTTTCCAGTTTTATAATGTCTGATCCGATTATAATGTTTTTTTTAATGTTTTGTCCAACTTACCAGGCCATCCTCGCATTATTCACAGGGATATTAAGTCATCCAACATTCTTCTGGATAGCAATTTTGAAGCCCAGGTATGCTTATTTCTGAGAAAGCTTTTCTGGAAGTAAGTTAATTTGCATTAGTTTGGGCTGGGGTAAATTGCTGCATCAGCCACTTGTGCCTTAGAGTAGAGGTGAACATTATCAGATCCGGACCAGAAAACCGAACCGGACCAAATAATATTCAGTCTGGTCTTTGGTCCAAAAATTTTTGGACCAGAAAATGTCAGTCTGGTCCTGCCTGGACCAATTAATTTTTTTTAATATTTAAAAATTAAAATAATAAATATGTAAATAGTTATGTGTATTATATATATTATGTAAATAACGTATTAAAATATTAAATATAAACAATATATGATCTTTAATATTTAAAATTAAAAAATTAACATATAAATAATATTTTTAAAAATTAAATTCTTTTAGCAGATTTTGGTCCATATTAGTCTAGTCTTTGGTTCAGGAATTCTTTTTTCATTCGGTTTCAGTCCGTTCAGTCTGCTGCTATCTGGTCTAGGTCCGTTCAGTCTGCTGCTAAGGAATTTGTTTGCTTGTTCCTGTTAACTAGAAAAATATTGGGCTGATCTTTTACCTCAATGACTAACATGATCTATCACAATGCATGTTGGATGTCCACCAATTTGTTGTTCTATGTAATGCTTTGCTCATGATTCGTGTTTAAACTCTCTCCCTCCAACAGGTTTCAGATTTTGGGCTTGCAAAATTAGCTTTGGATTCAAATACTCATGTAACTACACGTGTGATGGGAACCTTCGGGTAAGCAAATCATGTGTTGACTCTTTATATTTATTTAAATACTTGTGCATAACCTCATATGGTTTTCCTGAATGCTTTTATTATCCTTTTTCTTCTGCTCTTCTGGGTGGAGTCAAAAATACTGATGGCAGTTGCTGACATGCAGATTCCTCATGTTCTTGTTTTCCCCATGTCATTTTGTTAGAGTACTAAGTGACATTGATATGCATTTATTCTCCTAAAAAGTGTCGATGTTTTTCTTAGTATGATGGGACTAAGGGAGAACATATTTCTATTATGGTGATATAATCCCAGAGCATAATTTTTCTCATCCTATTTTATAATGATATGTTTCTGGTTTCAGATATATGGCTCCAGAATATGCAACAAGTGGCAAGTTGACTGAAAAGTCTGATGTTTATTCGTTTGGGGTTGTGTTATTGGAACTTATTACAGGTCGCAAACCTGTGGATGCTTCTCAGCCATTGGGTGATGAAAGCCTGGTTGAATGGGTAAATTCATGCTTCATAAATATTATACTGATAAAATTATTGTTCTTACTATGTCTCTGATAAAAAACTTTACCCATTTTATATTCTCAAAGGCTATCGTTATTCGGGTCCAAATTTGTTGCAAACTTAAAAAATTTCCCCAAAATCATATATTTTGTTGAAAATAGCTTTTGATTCAGATGTTAAATCCTGATTTCTCTTTCACACATGATGTTCCAAGTTGCTTATGGAAGTGGCATATGGAATGTTAAAATTTGTTATATCATACATTTATTAATTTTAATCTCCAGAACTTTACAAAAGAAAACTCAATTGGAACTTAATGATTTTAAGATTTCACAAACAATGTTATTTCAAAGAATATAGAGTGAGAATATAGGCCGATTTAACTTACAAAATCCTCTCTCCTCCTCCAGGCTCGACCTCTGCTTGGTCAAGCACTTGACAACGAAGACTTTGAAGAGTTGGTAGATCCAAAGCTGGGAAATAACTATATTGATACTGAAATGTTTCGGATGATTGAGGCAGCTGCAGCTTGCGTGCGCCATTCAGCTGCAAAAAGGCCAAGAATGAGTCAGGTAACTGTGCAGATTGTATACAGCTTCTTGCTATTTGCTACCATATCAGGATTAACTTCAGAGCTTCTTCTTCTTTGCAGGTGGTGAGAGCTTTAGACTCATTAGATGAAGGTTCGGACCTCACCAATGGGATGAAACCTGGTCAGAGTGGAGTCTTCGATTCAGCGCAACATTCTGCACAAATCCGAATGTTCCAGAGAATGGCATTCGGTAGTCAAGAATACAGTTCGGACTTTTTCAATCAAACTCAGAATAGCTGGAGAAGTCGACAACATGGGGATGGGAGTACCTATAGACCATAATAACCGTCAGAAATGAAGCAATTGAGGCAAGCCAGCACAAAGTGCCATAAAATTGTGTAAAAGATTTGGAAGCAGCATTTTTGGAGAGAAGGTATAAGATATTTGGATTGTTGCTAGGATGTGTTTCAAAGTATTCGGACCAGGTCCTCATGCATGTTTCATGTATAATCTCTTCCATTTTCCCGGGTTTCATGACCAAACACTGAGTTTGCCTGGATGCATACATCTACTTGTTTACTATTCTTTTTGAGTATAGAATATACCTCACTTCTTTGTATTAAAATCTGTTAATTCTTAATATAGAGATCCTTGGAATTGTATCGATGCCCGAGTTGACTGTCTATAAAATTTTTTGTGCTCTTGTTTACTTTCACGTTAAAACTGGGATGTTTAGAAATTCAGAAAAATTTTAAAGTGGGTTTTCAGATATTTTGGTTGTTTGTATGATGGTTTGCCAACCTTGTTAAAGGGGAAAAAACCTAGGATGGAAAAAGAAAGAAAAGAAAATTGTACCTAAATATTTGATGGGGGGGACTTTTGGCAATCTAAGTTGGGTTTCTTTAGAAGAAGAAACATAACGAAACTCAGTCATTTTGGAAATTTAGTTAGCAACTCAAACTCGGGTACATTGTAGAATAACATTTGGGTTTTGATCGGATAAATTTCAGTGATGATTGTAATTGTAAAATCTTTATTTTTATTTAGATGAAAGAATGATTTGGTTGTATTTTTAACTAAATTATTAATTTATTCTTGCATATTAATATATAAGAAAAAAATAAATTATTTATCAAAACATATTTATATTTATATTTATATTTAAATAAATAATAATTATTTATATTATTATATTAATTTAATAAAATTTTTAATTATCAAAATATATATAAATATGCAAGAATAAATACGCAGCAAATACTATTAATTTGGTGGTTTAAAAATTTACTTTAAAATTTACCAATTAAATACTATTTGTTATCATTAAAAGTTGAAATAAACATAGTTTTTTCACGCCCGTAAAATATCATACATTAAAATTAAAATTCTATCATTTATCATGATCCAAAACGGAGGATATAAGTAAAATACTTATCGAGTAATATTCATAATTTTATGATTAGGAATTAATAACAACATAATTAACTTTTTTAAAAAAAAAAAACATATATGAGATGCAGGCATGGTTAACACTGGAACCACCTTCTATTGGTATTATCTGATTAGCAGTGACAAATATTATTATGGATGTGTGGTTACGGAATCTCAACTTCACGGCATTTAGTCTATTAGCAGCACGGATTCTTTTGTCCCACCAACTGATTAAAAGAAACCAAACAAAAAGGGGGAGTTCACAAAGTCTTATCATACATTTGCATAATATCAAGATCAGTAGTAATTAATTAGTAATAATATTCTCAAATTATTGTTTTAAAAATAAATTAGAGGTTGCATGCTTATATTTATTAAAATAATTAAATAATAAATTTAACAAAAAAATAAAATTAGTTAGAATAATTATATCTGCATTACAAACCCAAAGTGTCTCTAGTGTTATTTTCATTGAAAAAGTAGATAATTAATAAGCTGGGTCTACTGGCTTAGTTGGTAGGCTGCGTTTTCAGAGTAGCGACAAAACATGAAACTTGTGGACTTTATTATTACAGCGTTTCCCATCTACTCTTCTCCATCTAACCAAAACTCAGCTCAAGTTTTATAGATCAGAGAAGAGGGTGTTCAAGTTGAAGATCCAGCAGAGCCGGTAGACATGGAGGGAGTGTTAATGGTGGGTGGAGTTGATTACAGAGAGAAATTATTATACCCTGAAATGGGAAAAGGTGGAGGGTGTAGGATGAAGGAGACAAGTGCTGGATTTTTGAGTGGAAGACAGAAGAAATTGGTGTGTGTTACCACTGGTAACTCTTGCTTGGGAGTTCACATTGTCAAGCAACTCTTGGCTCGTGCTTACCTTGTTCGTATCACCGTTCAAAACCAAGGTATCTTTTATATTTACGTACACACGCACAAATACATATGGGTTTCTTCTTCTTATCTTCCTCTTCTTCTTCTTCTTCTTCTTTTGGTACTTTATTACCAAACTTGAGTCAAGTGAGGATTTTGATTATTATTTTTTAGTAACTGGAATTAGTTAATTAATTAAGTAGTTGGGTTTGATTTTGTGAATGAAAATTTTGGTCTGAAAAGTGGAAATTGAGGAGATGAAGGAGATGTTAGAAGAGGAAGAAATGAATATGGTGGAGAGTGTAGTGGTGGCAAAGATGGGAGATTTGGGCAGCCTTTGTGAAGCTTTTTCTGGTTGCCATGCTGTCTTCCACACCTCTTCATTTATTGATCCACATGGTCTCTCTGGTTATTCTGTAAGTCATTATTTACTCTGATCGACTCTTTTACTATACATATATTACTAAAAACACACGCAAACATGTATATAGTAATATGTACAGTAACATATAGGGTTATGTAGGTTGGAGTCAAATTGTAGACTGGAGTCGGATTATCCCCTATGGTTGATACATATGGGCCACCTAACGAATGAAACATAGGTTCTTTAAAAAAACAATAATAAGGAAAGACCTTGAGACATATTAGGTCTCTTATGATCATATAAAAGTGAATCTAATATGTATAAACTGACCTCTTTACGAATAATATCTTAAATATTGTGTGTGTGTGTATATATATATATATATGGGGTTTAGAAATGATGAGATTTGTGAAGATTTGCAGGAAAAAATGGCAATTTTGGAGAGGGAAGGAGCAAGAAATGTGGTAGAAGCCTGCAGTAGGGCTGCATATGTGAAGAGATGTATTTTCACTTCTTCTCTTGTTGCTTCCATCTGGAAGGTCAACTCCTTCAACTCCAGCATGCTTATTGATGAGACTTGTTGGAGTGATGAAGATTTTTGCAGACAGAATAAGGTCCTTAACCTTAGTTATTATATACTTAAATCTCAACATTACATACAGACATTTATATATATTTCATATATACATATATATAACAAGATGTTGAAAATGAAATAAGGACAGCTTTGGTTTGCACTGGGAAAGACAATGGCGGAGAAGATTGCTTGGAGAATGTCAAGAGAATTGAGAGTGAATCTTGTTACCTTATGCCCTGCCCTTATGATATCTCCATCCTCCTTTCAATGTTCTGTTACACACACCTCTTTGCCCTATCTTAAAGGTATTAGATATATATCATCCATCCCATTAGTGAGTCTTTTTTGTAGAGTTCCTTAGTACATATTTAGAGTCTTATATATGTATATACACATATATGTAGGTGGGCAGATGATGCTACAAGGAGGGGTGTTGGCAAGTGTAGATGTGGAAAAGGTGGCTGCTGCACATTTGCATGTTTACGAAGGTATGGATAATGGAGCCAGCGGGAGATATTTGTGTTTCGACAGAGTGGTGAAAAGGGTAAGCGAAGCAATTGAGATTGAAAATAGGTTAAAGATACACGGAGTCCTGTGGAGAGGAAGACCAGTGGATGATGATGAAGAAGAACTTCAGACCAATCTCACTAACTCTAAGCTTCTCAAACTGTTACTTCAATCTTCTCTATCCTCATCTTGCAAACAACAGGCTGAATAGTTGCAAATTTGTTGTAATCATTAATCTCTTCTTTTTTTTTCCTCTCTTTTAATTAATCGCAGCAATTCACGAATTTAAGAAATAAAAAATTTTATGTACTTAAAAGAAGATTTAGTGAGACTGGATTTACTTTTAACAAAATTTTATTTTACTTGAGAAGATTTAGTGAGATCTACACTAAGATTGGATTTACATATTAATTTGAAACTCAACATTATAAAAACCCACTTTCCTAATTAGAAGATAAACATTGATCATTTTTAGCTCTGAAAGAAAACCATGAGGAAGACAATCGTTGCTGCGTTTTGGTTGATGCTTCTGTTCATCTCCACCCCAGGTAAATGACGTCTAAATATAATAATATTAGGTCTGGTTATATGTATACACACACACACACACACACATGTGAAAAAATACTGATAATAGATTTGACGATGGTGGGTGCAGGTGGGGTAACGACAAGCGCTCCTAAATTTTGCAGGGACAACTTCGTGCAACCAGGTGGATGCTCAGGAAGTCAGTGTTATGAATTCTGCAGCTCTAAACGTTATAAACATTATAAGGAACTCTTTGACTGTTCATGTGTGGATAGTAAAACTTGTCAGTGTACTTATCTTTGTTAAATCATGTTATTAATAATTAAATAAATGAAAACAATGATAATAAATAATTCAGATTTTAAATAAACATTTGATTAGTTCCAATATATTTTTTCAATTCTGTTTAAAGAATTAATCACTTGCTGATCATAGGAGATAAAAAAATAAATAAATAAACGAAAACAACGAATCTAATGAAATAACGAGAAAATAAAGGAAATTGAGATACAGACGAGCAACAGTTTGCTC